CTATTGCTTGAGTTATTAAAAAATGACCTATTGTCACTCTTAGACTAAACTATCTTAAAACTTTTATCCTCCTTTGGATTCTGAATCCTATGTGAGAATCACCCTATTTTCCTTCATCAGCTACCATTAGCCTTTGTTCTCTACATGGAAAGAATGTATGTGCTAGGTCCACTGCTTATGTCACACTTAATGGCAAGAAAGATAGCTTTCCCTCTTTAACCAGATCAGGAGCCTACTTCTATTCAACATGAGAGCCCAGAAATAAGCCCACAATTGTATGGGAAATTAATATCAATATTACACAGGAGACAAGAGTATACAATGACAGAGTCTTTATATCAACGGAATCAGCTTGGTATCTCTCCCACTTCACCTTTTCTGTCTATGCTGTTTCCTCTCTTCACCAGTTTTATCTCCTATCTTTGTTTGTCTATTATCTTTCACTCATAGTTTCCACTTAAATGTCATCTCTTCATTGAAGATTTCCCCAACCAATCAATTTCCTACTATTGTCTTTCTGTATCCTTCATAGCACTTTTCATGACTTACAATCACATATTTACACTTATTTGGTGGCTTTCTCCTCTATTAGAATGTAACTTCCACGAGGATAGTGTCAAGTTTTGTATCCCAGTGCAATATCAACCTACCTCAAGTACTTCTGATAATCTACCGCAGAATAGATATCTAGTAAATGTGCCTAATAAATATTTTGATATGACTGAAAGATGAAGGAAGCAAGCAAGCAAACAAGTTTTTAGTGAAGCTGTTTTATATAACCTCTATATAAAAATGAACAAGGACAGGTGTTTTAAGCAAATTTATAATTCATGAAAATTTAAATTTACATAAAGCATATGTTGAAAGGTAATTTTTCCACTTTACAGAAAGATCCATCCAAAGATTTTTTAAACAAGCTTCTCAGGTACATGGAAAGTAAGATTTTATTGATTAAACCCATATGCTTGCACAGAATTCTTTAGGAAAGTATCTTTTATATAAAGCAAGGTTGACCTATAAGCAGTTTCCTAAAGGCCCCTAGCCCAGAATGGCCAACTCTCCAATTTCTAAGGTAATAGAGAAAAGGAGGCCTAGAGTTCAGTGGATATTTGAAACCCTAAAACGCAAAGCAGTAATTTCAGTCACTTAAGGTCCTCGTGATTTTTCTCACACACACACAAAAAAATTATCTAATGGTAAGATGAATTAATGTGTCTGAATCTCCCCACTCTTCTTTCTGTATATCTGTAGGCCTGTGGCATGGCCCCAAGAGGCTGCTATGGGAATAAGAACAAAGGCTTATAAAATTCACCAAATTAATGCTTTCCTACCAACTCCCCCACCACCGCTACCACCACTGATAATTAAGTTGTCTGATTACAAACCTGGAAAGAAGAATTCAGTGTGTTAATAAATAAAATGTAATTAACTTCTGTGGGTCTCAATTTCCTCATCTTAACAAGGTGGGAGTCCTTTTGAAGATCATTGTTTTATAATTCTGTTCTTGAACCTACCCAAACTTTACAAAATAAGGTAATTTGTGACTGTTCTCTCTGTCTAATGAAATAAATTTCACAGCTATTTCCGCTCTTCCTATTAGAAATTTTAATAAGTGATTATGAACTTTAAATGAAAACATTTATAAATTTATAAAATTGGTTGATTTGTCTATTAATGATGGTTCTTACCAAGAAGGAAATTACTTGCAGGTCACAAGTAACCATTTTTTTTTATCAAATATATTATGCTGCGATGGAAGCATAGTAAGCTTTTCACAAATTGCAACACACATGAAATATTTTAGCAGCAGGAAGGAAAAACAATTTACTGGTTGTAGTAATAAAGATAAGGTGTACTAGGGTATAGGTGAATTTTAGCCTTCAAAATCAGAACTATTTTGTCTCAAAAAATCTGAAGTCTCTCAATATTGAACAAAATATGTGAAACATGGAGAAAAACAACCCTATAGAATTTTTGACAACATTTTTGTCCTCATTAACTTTCCAAGGCATAATCCTATGCTCACTACACACAATTTTGCTTTTAGCCCAAATATTACTATAGTTATGACAGATTAAGGGGCAATTGTTTCCCTACATGATGTACAGAGGTATTAACTTCTGATATGCAGGAATTTAGACTAACAATGCTGATCCCTAAGACTTCAGGGCCTGGAAAGCTAAAGATTTTATTTCCAGGAACACAAATAATTTAGCTCTCTAACCTACTTTGTAGGTTAAACAGAGATCTTGAAAATACCAACACATTAGAATTATATCTAAAAGGTAATGTTCCTCTATTTGCTTGTATTTTTGTCTCTTCCCTATTTACTTTTGTAACTGATATCAGATATTTCTTCAGGGAGAAAGAACAGATTTAGAAAGTAAGACAGAGCAACAAAAATAACAGGCTGGGCACAGTGAAGTTAGAGTTGACATTTGATCAATCATGGTCCCCAAACTATACAGGATACAGCCAGAAAGGAATTACAGTAGAAGCAGAGGCAGATGAAGAGATGGTAATGAGGGGAGAGAGAGCTCAGAAAAGAGGATGTGCTAATGGAAGTTTAAAACTCAGCAGAAAAGTAAAGACTGGAATTCATTTTGAGAACAGGATGCAGGCTGTGCTCTGGAATGACAGAAATATGGAGACCAGCACTCTTGTCTGCCTAGTTTCTACTTTGAATTGAAACATAGTTGAGAAAGAAACAAATATTTATCTATTTTTATGAAATTCTGAAGGAAATAAGTGTTTTACAATTACATAAGTCAGTTTTTCATGTAAGGAGTTTCTAATTCACTGTTTCATGTTGAGATGTTTTGGGGTTGCATAGGGGGTGGGAACAGTGGGCCTGGCTAGTGTAAATTAAATAATGTCCTCAGTTTGGACAGATGGACACATTGATAAGATGTGCAACCTAAAGATACAAACACACACAGTTAACATTTGAAGTTGTATTATAAAAAATAAGGAATAGACGGGATTTCAATAGATTTAAGGAGAATTTTTTTAAAGATGTATTTATTTTATGCTTACAGAACTGGAGTACAGTCCAGAGGTGTGGTAGGTGAGTGAATTCACCAGGACAGAGTGGGGAACAGAACAGGCTCATCTACTGAAATACACTGCTGAGGGGAGCAGCGGGTGGATCAGGAGAGGTCTGCCACGCCACATGGGTCAGCTCCCTGGCTAAGGATCGAACTCATGCTGCAGTGGCTTCAGAGAGCTTCATAATGTGGTGCTTTAACCCGTTGCGCCACCAGAGAGAGTTCAGAAGAATCTTTAACTGAAGACTATGCACAACGGAATGACTTTTTCCCCTCGTTGTTAGCAAAGTATCAAGTAATTTTTCTTTTCCTGTGTCTTGATACCAAGACTGCAGGATTGCTTCTCAGAAAATATGTACTGAGAAAAATATCTGTCATTAAGAATATGTCATCATAATTTAATCACTGTTGTTCTTTTTTTTTTTTTTCATTTCAAATGTGTGTTTTTTTTATTTTCCTAAAAATGCTGAGTGAACAAGGATTCCACAAAGAAACATAGGGATACTTTTTTAAAGTCTCCTAATTGCTGGAAGCCCTGGAAATGGGAATGCAGTGGAAATGCAAGTTGGTGCAGCCACTAAAACAGTATGATGGTGCCTCAAAAAAAATAGATATTAGTATCACCAAATGATCCAGTAATCCCATTTCTGGATGGACACCCAAAGGAAATGAAATCAAGATCCTCTAGAGATGCCAGCATCAGCATATCTGAGTTTAGTGCACTAGTGCTCAGACCCAAGATGAGAAGCAGAAGAGTGGATAAACAAGATGTGGTGGACAGGCTCTAGTTTCTGTGTGGAGTACTGTTCAGTCATGCATGAAAGAGAAGGACATTTGCAACATCGGATGGACCTTGAGGCATTAGACTACCAAAGCAAGTCAGGGAAAGACAAATCCATTTTTTAGTTCACCTTTAGGTAAACCTAAGAAAGATAAACTTAGAGACACAGAGAGTAGGGTGGTGGCCTGACTATCAGGGAACTGGAAGGGGAGAGAAACAGAGAGATATTGGCCCAAGGGTATAAACGTCTAGTTGTAAGATTAACAAGTCTGGGAGTCTAATGTGCAGCATCAGGATTATGGCTCATGATACTGTATTATATTATTGCATATCTCTAAGAAAGTAGATCTTAAATGTTCTTATGCAAGAAAAGAAACAGTGGCTCTGTGATATAATTGAGCAGGTGGCTATCAATAATAATCTGCTGGGAAACATTGTGAGAATGATCACCATATCAAAGCAACACCTTGTACACCATCACCTTCCAACTGTTTTCTTTCCATTATACTTCAATAAATCTGGAAAAAAATAAAGTATCATATCTCTCTTGGTCGTTAAAAACACAGCTAGGCAGCAGAGTGCTCAGATCATGCTATCAGTGTCCTGACTTGCCAAGCCTGGGGCTCCATGCAAGAGTGCATGTGGCCTGAAGAGGGAGCTGGGCAGGAGGGACCCAGGTTTCCTTCCAGCACTGAGCTTGTCAGAGCTTTGGGGTCTTTTAAAATGAGAGTATTGAACTAGGGGTTCCATGAGGGCCCTTGCAGCAGCAGCATCATGTAATCCCATGACGATAACCTTTCCTGCCCATGCTGCCTGAGCTCTGGGTCCACTTCAGGAGCAGCTTACTCGGCTTTCTCTTATATGTTAATGAGAACCTCTCAGTTCTTTACACGCTACTGAATTAATGACAGAAATTTAGTCTTCTCTCCCAAGATTGTGTGCATGCTACACGTTCAACATCTGCATCGAAAGAAGGAAAGGAAGAAAAGAATAGGGGCTCAGGGCGTTATTTTTCTGCTTTCAATATTTCACCTTATTCCATGCAGAATGGTTTTGTATTACTTAGAATAAAGAATTATGCTTTAATGAGTTCATCTAAGAAGTGTCTTAGATTTGCTACCAAAAAGAGCATGATTATTGTTAACAGCCATCTTCTCCTCATGTTTCACTAGGTTTGGAAAGAAGAAAGATGTTAAGGGTGGGAAAGCTGAGCAGAAAGGAACTCTGAAGCATGGAAGCCTGAGAGAAGAAGAGCTGGAGAAAATGAGAGAAGAACGGGAAAGGTGAGTAGCCAGAGCAGCCACACTGAGCCCCTCGTTCTACTTGAGGCCATGATCTGTGTTTTACTCATGTTTACTTCAGTCAACTAAAGAAATTTTAATTTAAGAAGCACAGAGGCTGACTGATGCAAAAGGAAAGTACCCAATATAAAGGAACCCGCCTTTTTGGGTAATTTTTAATTATAATTATGAGAAGAAATTATGTTCATGTTTTTATTATGTGAGCACTTATAATTTCATAACATACTATCCTGGTTTAGACTATATCAATGCACATTTTCCTCAACAGTTTAAACAATGAGTTTTTATTTTCAATAAAAAGGTCGTTTTGATATTGATGTCTAGAACTATCAAATTTCCATAGTCTGTTCCTAATTTTTGTCAAGCTGTTGTATGCCTTCCTAATTTTATTCTGCTAAATCCATTTGGGTACTGTAATTTGAGAAGTACGTGTCCTTCATTTTTAAAAAGCCAGTGTCTTTTATTAGGCTATCAGCAAGTCGCAAAGCATGTTGCCCATCTGTTAAAGGGCCGGTTTCATTTACTGAAATAATGACGGTCTGCAAGGGATGAATTCTCCTGTTTGAGGGGCTTAATGTTCCATTTGGACAAGAGGTCCTTCGCTTATCTTTGATGTTAACTCTGGCTCTTACCCCAAGTAGATGTGTAAATGTCTGGCTTTGAAACACGTAATTGAATATTCATATTTCTCCTGAAAATTCTTCACCTTCACAATTTAGCAGAGCTTTGAAAAAGACTGAGATTATGACAAAATTATCAATAGCATATAAGTTAAAGTATTTGATTCTGACTGCATCATGGATGAAGTCAGATTTGTCTAAATTTTCTCTTGCTTATTAGCCACAGTAACCCCATGTAGTTTTAAAGGACTGATTCTCATGCTTATTTTAATAGTATGTACACTTAGAAAATCACATTTATTATTCATTGTGTTTTCTAGCACAGGGAAGGCTAAGAGTATCTACTGTTAACCTCTGGCCCCTATCTTGTAGTCTATTCCTGGTGAGAAGACTGACTTTATCAATAGTGAGGGGGAAAAAAGCCTATTTAGTCCTCTCTCATTTTTGAGAGGTTGATAAGCTCAGTTCTGGGGTCAGTGGAGCAGTTAAAAGGAAATCAACTACTTTACATTGTTGTTGACTATTCACCTGACAGAGCTGCCCCAAAGACAAGAAAAATGAAGTCTCCGCCATTGCCCAAGATGCAGTCTTCCTGCAATGTAGGGGGTAATTCAGGCGAAGATTATAATGCATATATTGGCAAGACGTCTCTGTGGTGTGTCCACATCACAGATCTTTGCTGCTCCCCTGACTTCAATTTCTGAGGCACGTTCCTGTGCCTATCTTCAGGAAACTGAGCTGTTTGCTGGCATCCAGACTTCACAGTTTTGCATCTTGACACTTGCTTTGGCATGGGGGCGGGGAATTACTCTTAGTTGCTGGGGAACTGTGTGCCAGCTAGAAAATTGATAACCCATAAAATAAAGTGGGTTGTCTTTAGCAAGAGTTCATTTCCTTTCTGGTTTTGCCTTTCGGAAGCAGGTGCCTCTGGGACTTTTGTTCTTAAAAGTGAGGTTGTAAATTCACCTCAGCTGGCTATATAGGCTTCAGGTCCAATTTTCTAAAAATATGTCTGGTCAAATATTGAAAGTACTGTACTATTAGCCTTTTCTTGGGCCATTCCCACACGTGGATACATAAAACACATGTGCTATGGGTTTCTTGAAGACAACATAGTCTCAATCATGTGCAATGGGAAGAAGTCTGAGGAGTTGATTTTATGGTGGGGTGCTATAGAACTAATGACCAAGGGCATTTCAACAGCTTAAGGGCTGAGAGCCATAGAAGGCGGAGGTGGAAGCTGAACTCTTGGCATTGCTCCCAACCCTGGAGTCCCATTTCTTGGCTCTCCATCATCCAGAGGAAACCAATTCACAACTCTTAAAGAACTCAGCGAGTGTATCACTCTTCATGGTGTGGCCATGGGAAAGATAGACTAAAATATGAAATAGTGCATAACAGTGCACAAAGTTGTCTTCTCTTTGTTGTTTATATATATATTTCCTATTTTTTTAAGATTTATTTATTTATGCATACAAGAGCTGGAGTGTAAGCCAGAGATGGGGGGAGGGAGGGTTTAAAATGATCCACCAGAGACAGAGTGGGGAGTAGAACAGGCAGAAACATACTGCTGAGGGGAGCAGCAGACAAGACAGGAGAAATCTGCTGCAGCATGTGGGTCAGCTTCCTGGTAGTGGATTGAACTTGGATAGGTGCCTAGTATTACGTCCCAACCCCTTGCACAACCAGGGAGGCCCTGTCTTTTCTTCCTAATGCATTTGGAATTTGTTACCTTAAGAAAACTGTAGCCATCCTCTTGCTTACTTGGTTCATCCTACCTTTTGCAGGCATAATAGCTTTTCATTAGCAAGTCACATTTTCAGAGTTAAAATACTAAACTAGAATGTATACTGTACATTGTTAGAGGAGCTTATGACTGCAAAAAAACAAATTACTCATCCAAATCAAACCACATGGTTGTTTAAGCATGCTCCACCCGCCTCAGAATGAACCACTTGGGTAATTGTTAAAATAGAAGTATCCTGAGTTCCACCCCAGACTTGCAGAATGAGATCTCTGGAGGTAGAAGTTCAGAATCTGGTTTTAATAGGTAGCCTAACTTGAATCCTTGTCATTCTAAAGCCTGGGACTCACTAACTTGAAGGAACAGGATTTGGCTAAGCATTAGAGTAAGCTGCTCTTAGTCAATACAAAATAATAACAGATTATTTCCCCAAGAGAATAGTAGACTTGGACTACAACTGTGGCTGTCTTCCTTCATGTGCTCTCTCGGCCACATCCTCCCTCACTGGCACACTGTTTGAAAACAAGAGAAGCACCCTTGCCTGTGCTCACTTGCCTAAGGGGAGGTGAATCATGTTGCCCCAAGTATGCAGCTTGAACTGCCCTGTCCTAACCTCCGGACTTGACAGATAGTGAAGGTACTCTGCTGGATGTTTGAGATGCTTTGTTTCATGCTATCCTGTGAATAATGTAGAGAAATATACACCAGATGAAAGAGCTTACAAAGATAGTTATTACAAAAACTGTACCCAAAGATTGATCAGGAACACTCCTCCAATACAAGCTCACAGAAATAGTTTTTCTCAAAAATTTATTTTTAATGCTGGCCTGCTGAGAATTGGCATCAGTGATAGTGCCTGTTGATCAGATTGTTAGTGCCAAGAAACTGCAGGGGTGGATAATGAGTCCAATGACAGAATCATCTGGAACAATGGATTGAATCAAACATGAAGAAATTTAATAGCAATAAGTGTAAAGTATTGCTTTTAGATCCAAAGTGAACTGTAAAAGTACAGGATGTGGAAGGTTTGACTTAATACTAAATACATGAAAATTTTTGCCTGATGGTTTCAGTTGAGGGTAAGTTTAGCATGCGTCAACATGAGGATGTATCTGCCAAAACCTTAATCCAGTTCTAGGCTGCATTACTGGAAAACTCATGTACAATTAAAGGGAGAAACAATGATTCCTATTTTACTGCTTAGCTCACACCTGGAAAATCTCCTGCCTTTCTCACACAGATATTACGTGCAGTAAATCCATGTCTTAGGAAAATGTTGAGGGCCTGGGAATGCATAACTCACACAGTAAAGCCTTAGTTGATTTCACATGATTGAAGAACTTTCACATGTCTAGAGGAATTAGTCTTATTTGATAACATCTTTTCTATTCTACCCTTCCTACATCTATCTATTTGCTTGCTCATCTATTCATGTATTTTCATGAAGATGCTAATGGGGAATATACTTAAGAGAAGTAAACTTCAACTTAATTGAAAGGATATTTTCCTTTCAATTATAGTACCTCACAAGACAGTGAGTTTGTTGACACTGGGAATGTCTCATAAGAAGCTGCTGATCACATTGAGAAAGAATTAGTGCAACAGGAAAGTCTCGGATGATATCAGCGCTCCAAAAACATCAGTCATTGAAATATTACTTTCATTGTCTTAAATGTATTTATATTTTTACATAAGTAAATATTAAATGCATGCAAAGTTATGTAGTTAATGTGATTAAATGTATTAGTTCACATAGCACCTAAAATCACCTTGTGTATCATTAACTGCTGTATTTGTCCTTAGATGATCTCTAGCATCTGAATGCTCCCAAATCTTAGGGAGTGAGAAATTATATCTAAGTACAGAAGCATGTAATTGATTTCCCAAAGACACCTTTCATGAACTCTCCTTGACATTGGTAGTATTTGCACTTGTACGTGTCTAAGGGTAGAAGCCTTAGAACTTTCTTTCTCTAGATGTGCTAGGACTTTATGAGTCTCATGTTTGATTTCTTGAGCCGCTCTTATGTCCCCTGGTGACACAAGTCATTCCATTGCAGTGAAGTCCTACTGTAAGTAAACTCATCATTTTTGTTCATGTTTCAGTGAGGGTGGCCAAAATAAAACATTAGCTCCAAATCCAAATGCCTGTATCCAATATTAGAAGGATGAATCCAATGTTATATGGAAAGATTACTTCACTAGAAATTTTTATCTAGCTAAACTAAATCAGCTTCTTCCAAACATTTATATTATGTAAATTAGCTTGGTGAACAGAAGCAAGAGATTGTCTCAACAAGTCAGTAAACATAATCTTGTTTGATTCTAAATCTTTAACTTAAATTTGTAATCTTCTGCAAAGTGTGAAATTAACCAGATTCTTGGATTTATAAAGTATCTAATTATATGCATGTTGTACTTGTATTGTTGCTAACTTCACAAAAGTCAGCTTCTCAAAAGATTGCTTCAATAAGAATATATTCACTTTATTTATTAAGGATTATTATACTGAAGGTGAGAGTGAAGTAATCAACATGAGCACCAAAGGCTGTCTCCCAATACAGACCCATATAGCTGACATTGAAATAAAAATTTACAAAATGAAACTTCTTCCAAAAA